GCATTTTATCAAACAGAAATAAACTATTACACATTTAACTACTAGAGCTATCGTTGAATGCAAATAATGACCCTATCCCGTTGATGTCATCAATATAGAGGGTACAGTTGTGGCAGAAAGATACATGTAAAAAGAAATTTATCAATTCACTCGTGACCATTTTATACATTTTCAAGTAAGTCCAGGTTTTAGAAATATTAATAAATATAAATGTTGATAACTGTTAATTACAAACGGACATTATTTTGTCAAAGATGTAATACAGAGTTATGTAAATTGACCTGCTGATCTTAGTTGTTTATATCCCTCCACATCCATGTGGAATTAATATGAATGTTTCATAATTAGATAAATTTATCTCGGTAAAAGTGTACATATACATTTAACATATTACTGTAAAACAGATGCATTATAAAACAAGCAAGCTGTATTGAATTAACATGTAATTATACTAATAAAATGTAGACAAAGAAATGAAAGTATATTTCTCCTTATTTCCGGTTTGGTAGCTGTCATTGACTGCAAGACACAGAAAGTCATGTACAAGTTTTTCAACAAAGTAATGATAATTTACATGGTATAAGTCATATGTATGTATCACAGAATAGTTATTGTAATAAGGATATCATACAGATTGTATCACACACAGATCAAGATTCAACAAAAAATAAAAATTCGCTATCTAGTTCCAACGGGTTCGTTGGTCAATCAGCTTTTTATTATATCTGTTTTTTGTTTGTTTAATTGGGTTTTACGTCACAGCGACACAGTATAGGTAATATGACGACGTTCCAGCTTTACTGGTGAATGTAGACCTCAGGTTCCTTTCCGTGCATTATTTCAGGCACGAACGGACACCCGAGTAGAACCACCGACGTTCCGTAAGCTATCTCGATAGCCTTCTCACATGAAAGAATCCAAAGTCCCTGTCGTTTGCACCTTGTGTTTCTTTCCTGAGTTATATATCGTGGGAATGAAATTGCAATTTTTTTCTGAGTTATATCTCGTGGCCACAAGATAAGGGATTTTCTTCTGAATTATATCTCGTGGCCAGGAGATAGGAAAATAAAATTAAATCACAATGTCCCCTCTGTGCTTCCGTTTTTAGAATTTAAATTTAAAAAAAGTTTGATTCCTAGATACGGTGGCACAAAGATGACATTTTTCCGTTTTTATTTATCTCGTGCGCACGAGATACTATGTCATGACCACGAGTTACTAAGTCGTGGCCACGAGATAATTAACTGGTGCCCAGGAGATACTATGTCGTGCCCATGATGCTACTGTTATTAAAACTACACGATGGATTTTATTAAAACTGTGCTATTATGTAGATATGTTTCTCGAGAAACAAATGTACATTCCTCCAATTCTTGCAAGAGTTGTGATTTTTTGATTGTGCAAAATGACCACGAGTGCGCACCACTTAATTATCTCGAGGCCACGACTTAATAACTCTAACCACAGCATAGTATCTCGTGCACACCACTTAAGTACTTCGCGGCCACGACTTAGATTCAAGATAATTAAGCCAATATAATATAATGGGAGTAAAATTACTACATATTTGATGTGTTAATTACTTCATTTTTTTGCGATGACACGTGTTCCTACAAATTATTGTGGCATCAAATATATACTGGCTAGCAAATATAAACTTTATGCTTATCATTAAGTGTATCACACAAAACATTTTCAGTCACGCGAGAAATTTTCGAAACATTGTGCGACTGTGTTAATTTTATAATAAATTATGAAGGTTAATTTTTACATAGAGTTATATGATTCAAAACTTACAGTCATCGTATTATAAACCCCCTCCCACACCTCCGGTTGATACACATTCTAAATATGTCACCCCCCCCCCCCCTGTCACTGAAATTTGAATCCTTTTATATTAATATATATTAATATTGTCTTCCAATTTAAATAATTTATCAAGAAATGTGAATCAAATTACAAATCTTAGTAAAATGCATTGCGATGCACTTTAATCATTTCAAACTAAATTCGTCGCTTGAGGTCAATAGTTTGAGTGCGAAATGGAAGTTAGATAAAACCATTGATTAGTTCAGTATAATTAAATTTACTTTAGTTTTATTGCGTTGGACGCTATAAGCTTATTGAAACAATCTCGATTACGTTCCTGGGATGATCCAGTAATAAGAAATGAGTGCAAAGTTGTTTTTTTTTTGCTCACAGAAATAACGTACTGTCCCTGATAATGTTGAACAAACGCGGTTAGCAATCCTTGTATGAATACTAGTTCCGTCGCGTTAACCACTCGACCACGCCGTCACTAAATCGTTTTTCATACCGGATAGATTCCCCACATCATAATAAATCTCGAAGGTACTGTAGAAAACGGATACAACAAGATGAAAATAAATCCTTTTATTTATAGAAAAAAAAAACTTGATTTTTCTGTTAATATAATACATTTTCTCTTTTTCTCTTAAAATTTACAATTTTAAAACACCTCCCCTTGAATTTCGTGTATACGTGGTATAGGCTGAATTCATAAGAAAGTTATCCGACAAGACACCAGTGAAAATACAAAAAATATGCTTCACTGTAGTGAAAAAATAGTTTTACAGTGAAAGAACGGAAAATAAAGATACGCATTTTGATTCATTAATATTTCTCAATATATAGTATATAACTATAGATAGATGATATCAAGTTTTTTTTCTATAAATACATATTCACTGAGCAGTATCAAAATAATTATAATTTGCATTTTTCATAAACGGCACAACAAGATAAAAAATGAATCCCTTATTTATAGAAGAAAAAAATCTTTTTATTGTATACTTTTATTTTCTTGGCCATAAGATTCTACTTAAATTTTGTGTATTGACTGAATGGTTGAATTTTGAAAGAAAGTAGTCCAGCAAATCACTAGTGAAAATACGGAAAATATGTTTCACTGCAGTGAAAAAAAATACAGAGAAAATATGGAAAATGAAAATATACATTTTATTTCATCAATTTTATATTTCATTTATAAGTATGAAATGAATAATAATTTTTACATAAGTTATTGATAAAGTATCGATTTACAGATTAAATCTTTTGACTGACTTGACTTGACTTACCATGTTATACCAATATTCTTAAGTTTAACCTTTTACTAATGCTATACATTTTAGTTTTTATTTATAAAAAATAAACCATATTCTACATCATTTCTAGCATACGTTTGGTGTATTTGATTTTTTTTATAAAATGACACTATTGTAAATAAAAAAATATTGTTTTTGAATTCAAAATTATGATATACATATTTAATCAGAACAGAACAGAACTTTTATTTCTTTGATTTGAACATAATACATCATCATAAAGAGCATATAAATACAGAGTAACAAATACATTTCAGTGCGATAAATCAATGCAATAATATATAAACATAAAATTAATGCTAGTATTAAACATATTATGTTATTAAGCCTCAGTTAAATGAGGATGAACATATAAACATATGATTAAGTCCAAATTTTGCATTATCATTGAACATTATTTCATATTGAACTTCTAATAGTCAAAGCTTTTTTATAATAAAATGCTTATTTACATAGCTCATTCCTATTATTGCTTTGCAACAGCATTAAAATTATATACATGCTTGGATTTATAAAATAGTTTCTTTAAATATAAAGGCTACGAATACATGAATAACAGGGACATATATGATTAAAATGATTTTAACTCTGTAGCACCACAGATTTATTAATAAATCCGGGGTAGCACCAAATTCAAATACAGTCTTATTTGCGCAACTTATTTATATACAAAAAACTAATGTCATAGAAACGCTTTTAATATAGTTTAGCATTAATACAAAAGCTTATCGAAACATTTACAATATATTTTATTTTGTTCACTTCGCAAAGAACACGTGTCATCATACAAGATAAAAAAAAATTGCTATAATTTGCACTAACATAATATTGTCATGTTTTAAGCATGTTACACAAAATATCTTACCTAATAATAAGCAAAAAAAGACCTTTTAATTACAATTAACACGTTAATTATCAGGTTCAGAAGTGTAAATTGCGTTTTGTATTATATGTACGTATAACGCTATTGGTGACGAGTAGCATTAGTCCGTCTCGGCTAAAAATAACTCTTCCTTGCTAATTGTGACATGATAACTCTTTATTATCATAGATAATTGATAAAAATCTACAATACTCTATCGAATATGATGGATACTATAAAATTACGAAATTTTATGTAACATTACTATTCACTTGAATACATTCAAACGAATACTTTCAAAGCTAAATAAAACAAAGTATATACATTTGTATAAAAAAAAATAATAAACAAAATGGCACTATCATCGACTATGTAAGTATTTTTAAATATCTTTTTTGGTAATACATCACGTTTCAGAGATTTTGATTATTTTTGTTTAAGTTTAATTAGTTAAGCTAGATTTGTTCTGAGTAATTGAATGAGAAAAATAAAAATAAAAAAATAGAAAAAAGTAAAATAAGAAAAGTAGAGACTATCTAAAGTAAAAATAAATTATTACACACATTAGAGTTGTGTTACATTTGTTTTTATAAACCCAACAAGGTTCACAATTTCGTTACGTAAGAACTGTGAAGTATCAAAAAAATAAACTTTGTAAACAATACATAAATTCTTGTATTCTTTGTGAGAACCAGGAAAGGAAAGGCATTTCGTATATGTATATATTTTAAATAATATAATATCCTTTGAAATCTTTAGGTACATACGAACACAAGCTGTCTAAATCTTTATTAAATATGACACAGATTATAATACCCATTTTCATATTATATGTGATCTTTAAAATTATGTTTGATTTGAAAGAGAATACGCATATATTTTTTGGGTTAATGTAGTTAGTAAATTCTTCTCACTTCATTTTTGATTGTTTGTTTCCAAATATTTAATATTCAAGTAATGAAGATAAATAATTATATATTTTTTCTTCCAGCATGCGCCTCTTTACAAACGATATGGATTCACCTGTACAATGCACGTCACCACAAGAGTGGAATGTTGCATTCGACACACCATTCGGAAAGAGTTCCGTCATGGAAGGTGACGTTGGCGGAAGTGAAAATGAAACATGCTCTAATGCGACAAGAAATACAATAAGATCTCTTTTTATTGACGAAGACTCTGGACTCGGAATGGACACAGACACGGTAAACTGATTTTGACACAACAATTTTATTATACCTCTCCCCCGTGAACATATCCCTTACTAGATAATTAAAGGCCCTATAAGTTTATATTTTCATTGCACTTTTATAGTTTTCAAAAGTTACTCATTAACTATTTACCATAAGCACCTTTGTCTTCTCTCGCTTTTTGGCAATTATGAAATTAGTACAACTATAACGATTTAGTATTTTGAATGGGAGTAGTAAGTAAAAATTTATTCGTTTCTGGGGCATAATGTGCCTTTAAGTTTCTTTCGTAAATATGTGTTGCAATAATAGTTTCATAGTATTTTGGTTAAGTATTACATCCCATGTAGCTATTACATTTGTATTATTATTACCTAAGTTCATACTCGAAAAACAAAAACACAACAATCTTCTTTTATCATTTTCTTAAGGGTTATGCTTATCATTTGTTGTATTTTCAGACCGACGATCAGTTTATTTTATCGTCTGTACCGACTTTTATAGGAGATGAAGATGACACGTGTTTTGATGGCTCCTTTACTGAGGTAACTTTACATTTTTCTTCAGCTGATGTCTAATAACAGCTAAAAACTGCATGTCAGAAAAGTCCAAGCAAATTAATATTGAGAACAATGTAACAATATTTTAAGAAAAGTATAATTATTCAAAATTCAAGTAATACATGTAATTTACATATTTATGTAATGAATGGCTGATTGTGCAGTATTTATCACCATATTTCTACTACGTGACTAATTTAGTTAGGACATTTTTGTTAATTATGATATTAGTTTGGTTACTTACGTGGACTGAAAGTGCCTTTTGAAATATGTTAATCAAATGAATATGGAGGCATGATACTTTAAAGCACCATAAAGGTGCCAAACGTATTTCTATGTAAAATGAATAAATTTGATTGGCTTTAATGAAATCGGTTAACGAATATAAATTTAATCAAATTGAGAATTAAAATTATAATAAAAATGGAAATAAAAAAAAATCAAATTAAAATCACAATTGAAATTCAAAATATATTTGAAATTGAATTGTATTGACTTTTGATCTTCAGGTAATTGACACAGCGACACCTCTTGGCTTCAAATCAAAGTCGGCTAAAAAGAAACTGTTTACCAATAAACGTATTGCCGATATTAGTGAAGACAATTTGGAATTTTCTCCGTCTGTGAAACGATTCAGAAAAGACGAGCCAAATTCATTATTAAAGTTCGCTCTTCAGGTAAGCATATACTAAATATGTTTTTTTTATCACGATGATCAGTGAAATTTTTTTTGCTTCTCAGCTTTATGAATCTATTTTTTCATAGATTTTTAGTGTTCATATCTTAAAATGCCACGCGCTAGCACACGTACACTGATTTAAAAGATGGATCGTGCGCCTGAAGAAAATATGTTTCTTTAATAAGCCGAATGAATGAATAAATGAATGAATGAATGAATGAATGAATGAATTAATGAATTAATGAATTAATGAAATAATCATTGAATGAATGATTGATTGAATGAATGAATGAATGAATGAATGAATGAATGAATGAATGAATGAATGAATGAATGAATGAATTAGAATAATCGTTTATTTTGCAGAATTCTCCGATTCAGCAGACGGACGATGACGTTAGCTGTATCATCCGGGCAGTTGACAGACTTACAACGGAAGTTGATCTTGTAGCAGACGGATCACGTGACTACAGTTTACCTACGATTAGAGGGAAACATGGCGATTTGAAGACTATTTCCGCCCAAACTGTAAGCATCGTTTAGTCAAAGTTACCTTCTCATTTTAATTAAGGATAAGATAATTTACACATAAATTTTATTGTTTTTACCAAATCTTCCACCACCAAGATTGTGCTATAGATGTCGCAGGGGCATATTTTCCATTTTTTTATTTTTACTTAACTTTTATCAATATATGAGTTCTGTCTTGTTGAATCTTCATAATATGAAATATTGAAATCAACCTATCATTTTTTTAAGATGGCCGACATTGTAAAGGAAACAGATGAAAGCGGAAATGACGTCATGATTGTTGATTGTCGGTACCCGTATGAATTTGAAGGAGGACATATAAAGGTAAAATGGGAATTCTCTTGTGCTTTTTTTAGCCAGCATACCTGTTAGTAACAAAAGAATCCAATAATATTTTTATTTCAAAGATAATGATTATTTCATTTTTTTATAAAAAGAAGGAAGTAAACCAAATAGTTTGCATTTTATAGTTGTAAAAGTGAAAGCAGTTATACTTATTATTTTGTACGGATGTGATAATTCCAGACTGAGCAAATTTGATTTTTGCATATTAGCTTTGGTCAGATGAATTCTTTTCGGTCCTATTCCGTGTATCATTTCTTAGATACAGAAAAAAACATTATTGAATTTATTTCACTTTATTGTCAGTGATATTTGATTAAATTTTCAAGTCTGAATTTCGTTTTTTTATATGCCACACATTTTAAATGACATCGATTTGGATTATGTAAATTGAGATTTCTGATTTTAATACATTTATTTTTTTCTTAAGGGCGCTGTAAACCTGTACACGAAAGAGGATGTTTACAAACTTCTTGAGTTGTCTGAAACCCAAAGACCACGTGTTCTTGTGTTTCATTGTGAATTCTCATCGGAACGAGGCCCAAAAATGTAAGTTATGATTACACAGAAATAACTAACTTTTTGCTTATAATTCGTGCTTTGATGTTAAGTTAGAGTAGTGTGCCCTTTTTATTATAACTCCATAGATGCTTGTGTGGGATGTTTTTTAAATATAAACTCATTAGAATTATTTTGGTAAATTAATTGTAATTCTAAACTATATTAACAGCTGATTTTTAAAGAATTATTTATGCAACACCCGTAATGTTC